TGTGTGTGTGTGTGTGTGTGTGTGTGTGTGTGTGTGTGTGTGTGTGTGTGTGTGTGTGTGTGTGTGTGTGTGTGTGTTTTCTGCTGGCTGGCTTTTCTTTTTTGTTCTTTCCTTTTTTTATTTTTTGAATGTCTTCTGCAATGCGCATGGGGTCTCTTCCCATACATCATCAAGGTCCATTCCCATCAGTTAATGGGGTGGTAATACTGATAGACCGCCACCACAGAGCCCAACGAGGCCCATATCCTGTGGGTATCGTGAAGCGTTAATGCTCCAGAATGTTGGTCGTAATGAATACCGGTACAACCACATCTATGCTGACAATGACCGGTTACGCTCAAGGTCCCCAACCCCTCCATCTGTGGCTGGAGCTGACCTCTCGGACTGCAAGTGGGATGCCATATCCAGAGTGTCAACTTGGTCCGCATGTAGAAGTCAGAAACAAGAGACGCTGTCCAAAGAACAGTGTTTGCAAACAATGTCGTTGCTATCTGTAAGTGGGATGGAAAGAGAGACCCTTGCCCACAGTGATGATTTACAATCTCTCTACGTTTTCTGATCAGGGATAACTCTCATAGAGTCCCTGTGTGCTATGGGAGTTGATGCAAACGGGATGTGGCTCATTCTCGTAAGGGTGGTTCGGATATGATGGGTGCCCTCCCTTCCTTACACAATCTTCCCGTAGAAGTGTCTACTCCACAATCGAGAATCCACCTCTATTGGAGCAAGTTCCACAGAGTCAAAGATTTGCCTGGTGTAAAATACCATTGTATTCGAGGAGTGAAAGACTTACAAGGAATTCCTAATCGACATCAGCTTTGTCGCTCGTCCAGCCCTCAACTGACATGTTGCAGTGTTGTTACAGTCTGTCGCCCAGTTTGCGTGACTTTCTGCAGCCTTTGGATAAGCCCCCACACCGTGCACTTTTAGGACTTTTTGGGACTGATGGGTTTGTGCATCCGTCTTTCCTGGATCAGATTCTGAGTTTGATGCAAGGGAAGTAATACTACTGAAAACATTTCACATGCGATGGCTGAACATGTCAACCCTTGGCCTGATCTTCTTCTTCTTCTTCTTCTTCTTCTTCTTTTTTCGTTTTTTTTTTCTTTCAAACAGGTCCTTATGGGTCTGGCTCCTTGGCCTGACCTTCTTAAGGATTGTCTGGCAGCATTTCCCGTGGAAGAGCAATTTGGGTCTAATGTGTGTGCAGCAGCCTTTCCAACTGATGCAAGAGGGGCCTTATGTGAGCAGGTCCCTGCGTTCATACCAGCCATAAATTTGCTGTACTGCCAAAACCCGATGTGGGGTGTGGTTGTCAGCTCACTCCCTGAATTGCTCTTTTGTGGGATCTTCCCATCTAATGTCATTGCAATGTCGTCCTTCATCATCACGAAAAAAATTAGGAAGTGTTTCTGATATTGTGACAAGTGATATAGGGCCCCCCAGATCAACTGTCCCATGGAAACGCCATAGACGGCGTTGTCGAAGGGGTTTAGCCTTCGAGACCTCTGCTGAGCAGGTCACTGTGTTCACACCAAACATGGATGTCCCATATTGCCAAAACCCAGCGCCAGGTCTGGTTGTCAGCTCACAACCTGAATTACCTTTATCTGGGATCTTCCCATCAGATGCCATTCCAAGTCCGTGCGTCGGCAGTGTTTCTGACATCATGGCGAGTGATATTGAGCCCGAACGGTCAACACTGCCATGGAAACGTTGTAGACGGTTGGGACGTCGTCGGAGGGGTTTAGTTTTCGAGACCTCTGGCTCTGTGCTGTCCACAAAGGGCACTGGATCTGGGGTTCTCAATGCAGATGTTGTCTTGGTGCGAGACGTTGAACCTACCTTGCAAGTGAGCTGTCGTGATGGCAATGATGAGCAGCTGAATGCATGTCTTCCAACATTGACCAATGCACAAGACAGCACCGCCGGCCCGGTTCAGGAAACATCACTGTTATACGCACGGTTGCTTTCTCCCTCCTTGCCTGAAGAGTTCCCAGGTCCGTCTGATTTCTCATCCATTCATAACAGATGTAATGATCCGTCCGCTGATGGTATCGAGTTGCCATGCCTTGCATCAACCTTGAACCCTTCAGCAAGCCGTGTCCTGTGGGCCAACGTAAGTTCACCCCAGCTTGAAACTACTGCAGGCAGCCCGTTTGTGGAAATGGGTATGGTCGGCAAGAGGGAATGTAGTTTGAACCTCGGCATACAGAACCAGGACATTGTGGAGTCTGATGTCCCAGATGCCTGTCAGGCATCTGCATCCATGCAGCGAACGCCTTTGCCTTCTCATTCTATATGTCGTGAAGACTTGCCAGTTGGTTGTCGGAATGGTGTTCGTCGTTCCCCCCCTGTTGCAGATGACACACTGGTCTCTGGGCATGGTTGCTCTTATGAGCAAACAGGATGTTTGCATGGGAGCCCTGCTAATAGGACTTCGCATGGTCCTGCAGTTGATTCTCCTGCACGTTCTGTGAACCACAGGATGTTTACCGCAGGTTTGGTCAGCTGAGCCCACTGGATGGAGAAAGACCATCATATGCCCAACTTTATACTCGTCATCCACAGGATTTCGATGAGGTTATTGACAGCCGTCTCCACTTCATGCGACTTCCAGAGGACATGCATGTGGCAGCTGTGCAACGCATGAGGAGCTTTCAGCCGATTGCATGTTCTGTTGCAGCAGTGTAAGTCTTTTATTCCGAGAGTTCGTTGGTGTTTTTGAATTGCCGCCAGAAGAGTGTGAAGGTAGAAGACTAGTGCTGGTGCCTGCTCTTATCAGCACCCCTAGCGCCTACTCGGGCTGTTGTTGTTGTTTTTTTTGTTTTTTTGTTTTAAGTGTTCAACCCAGAATCCGGACCAGATGGAGAGCATGCCCGGAGGTACAACAAACCTCAGGGCCTACAGGAGGTAAGTGTTCTCCTTGCAGATGAACTCCGACCAACAGAGGTAGAGGTTAGGCTTCGTCATCAAAATTGTTTTGGTAAGACGTTTCAAAGATCTCTGATCTTATGTACCAAACTCTCCATTACGTGTTGCTATTCCCTGCAGGTGAGTGGGGGTGGCATACACATATTGATCCTTCCAAGGGTTGGCCAGTGGATGTCTCGGCAAGAGAGTTCCATGCTTTTCACCTTCACGAACGAGAAGGAGAACGGCCAACTTTGTTGCAAGCCACCCACCTATTTCAAGAATATTGCTGCATGGCTTAGGCAAAGTTTGAGGGGCACCATCTGAGCTGGGTTAGGTTTAATCAGTCAAAAATCAGTTTACAGTCATACAGTGGATTGAGGAAGGCAGTTGCAGATAATGCACACCATGGGGTATTGGTCGAAGAGTCTCGCTGCCCTCCACCTTCAGCGGCGGACCGCGCTATATGCATGAAAAGTTCTATGATGTCGACGGTTTGGTAACCCGGACCTGTTTGTCAAAATCACATGTAACTCTAACTGGCCTGACATTGTGGATGCACTCTTTCCTGGCGAACAGTCTAATGACAGCCCAGACCTGTTGTGTCGAGTTTGCAAGGGTTGCCTCGAAAACTTTCTGACTGACATTAGAAAGAAGCACATTTTCCAATACATTATTAGCCTCATCCCACAAGACTGGAAAGATATCCTGGCCGAAGTGCTGCCTTGGAAGACCGGAGAGTGGGGGGTCAAGGTGCAAGAATCCCCTCCCTTACGAGCCTTCCAATTCTCCCATATGCAACCGGGATCGACCACTAGAGCTTTTTTCTCCTCCTTCCCGATTTCCCCATCCACGCACGGCATGCCATCCATTCTAAATAAAGAGGTGGAATTAGTAGTCATGGACTCCTTTCTCCTTAGGAAAATAAGAGTACTCGGATCGTGGCCCAAATCAATCTTCAGGCCAGACACGCCAGTCCAGAATTTGGAATTCGACCCGGCAGAGTGGGCCTGGACACCGGACAGGGAGAGGAATATCAAGTCTACTGTCCCCATATACGAACACACAGTCAAACTCGGTTACAACTCGGTTACAAACTTCTAATCAAAACTAAGGACCCAGATCCCATAATCAAAAGCAGATGGCAGAAACTAATAGGCCAGGAAGCCGATAAAATCACACAGATCCCTTGGAAGAAATGTAAAACAATCAGACCTACAAAAATCAGAAGCCTTCAGTGGCTTATCACCTATGCAGCACTGCCAGTGAATCAATGGCTGCATATAAGACGGCATAAAACTGACCCCACTAGCTCAGACCTGTGCACACTCTGTGCAGAAGGGGTTCAAGAGGACATAGTTCACTGCCTAATCCAATGTAGCGAGACGACGGACTACTGGGCATGGGCCTCAGCCCTCTGGGATTCCCTTTTCCATCCCCCCTTCCCCGAACACCCTATCCAAATCCTCCTCTGGACTAACATCCCGGATCAGCTTCAAAAGACTGAAAGATTGTGGTTCGGCCTGATCAGGAAAGTAACGTTATGGATCATCCRGAAGGAGAGGTGCTGCAGAACTATCGAAGGACTCTCCAACCCAAGAGATAAGGTATGGGCGGAGACRAGATCTATGCTACAGGCTGAAATTCTCTGCAGATGGCAGAGGTTAAAACAGTCGATGCCTGAGGATGAGGAGCAGCAAGAAAAGGTCAGGAAGAAGTTCACCAGKCAATGRCTGGTGAATGGTAAGGTGGCTGAGTTATGGAATGACAGAGTGTGCTGGAAAGACTGGCACAATCCGGAAACAGATYGGAGAGCCCAGTTCGTGCCAGCGGCCGATGGGSAGGGGAACTGAAGTGATTATAAGGGCCACATCAGGTATTGGGCGCCAGGTGAGTGAGTCACTGAGGAAGCCAAAGGAACTAGAGGGTGAGACTGGGAGGAGGGGACTTCGATCAGTTCCYGGCACGGCAAAGATTGTTCCACACCGGACACAYAATYGGAAGGGTTTAAGATGCTGAGATAGGGCGGAACAGATGGCTCCCATCATCRTCGATAAGTCAAACGGCCTTACACGCTCTACAGTTGGAGGGGATAACTTAAAAAGCACCCTAGGATCTCAGTCATCAGGGTTTTACCAGTGGGGGTACAATAGGGAAGGGGTGCCGTTAGGAGGAATAGGGGAGGGTTTAGGTTTTAAGGATCTTAGTCTTCGGGTAACGGCTCAGGGKCTTATGGTTGAAGGGTTTGGCCAGTCGGAACGGCTCAAGRCAGTAGTCTTAGGCAGATGGTAACTGGTCAAGATGGCTGAGGTTAGGGCCGGACTGAATCAACGGAGACAGGATGGAGGCTGATTGGTAGACATTAAGGGGTCTTAGGAWAAAGGGAAATGTTGAATCTACCTAGTCAGAAAATAGGGGGGTTCAGGGCGTGTTGTGGGGTGGGGGTTGTGGAAGTGGCTAGATCCTTTCTTGGTATTCGGGCCCTATATGGCAGGTTAGTGCAGCAGACCTGAGAGGAAAGGGTATGGTACGGCAAGCTGACAGTCAATCCTCCATATGGACGGAGCAATCAATGCTGGTCAGGGGTCCTTCGGCCGTATGGAAGGAAGCGTGTGTCTGTAATTATGATGTGTTATCCTTTTGACTTGCCGGTGGAGTAGGAACCGGACTGATGCTCCCCAGAATGTAAAAGGAGCCTGGGCCATAAGGTCCAGTTTTGTTAAAAAAAAAGAAAGAAGCACATTTTTTGTCCCACAAACGTCCAGACGGACCGGGAAAAAAAAAAAAAGAGTCGGCAAGAAGCTAAGACTAGTGACCCGAACAATGCAGGTCTTTGGATTGCAACAGAGCACAGGACAATGCAGTCCGAGCTGACTGGTGAGCTAAGGGGCTAACAATCCATAGCTGGAATGTCAACGGCCTAGGAAACATTCTGTCCAAGCAAGACAAACTCCGGGACATTCGGATAGTTTTAACCATGGTTGCCCCAAACCCGGACATCCAGACACCGGACACCGGGCCCGGACCCATGTCTGGATTAATCCGGACACCGATCTAGACAACCGGACATACAAACCCGGACGATCTGGTTATGAATGAACAGGTCCGGATGTCCGGATAATAATAATAATAGTAATAATAGTATAAATATTAAATTGTATACTACTACTACTACTACTACTACTACTACTACTACTACTACTACTACTACCACTACTAGTACTACTAGTACTACTACTACTACTACTACTACTACTACTACTACCACTACTACTACTAATAATAATGAAAACAGACGCGTTGCTGTACTTGTATTATCCGACTTATCTTGAACACACTCACATACACACGCACGCACGCACGCACGCACGCACACGCACACGCACCCGCACGCACACACACACACACACACACACACACACACACACACACACACACACACACACAACCAGTTCTCCTTGGCCCAGCTCACCCAAGATTGCACGTACAGGCCCTTCAGGGCCGGTCCGGTTGGCCCAACGGTCCACCAAAAACTGCGCCAACAATTTTCGGGGGTCCACCAGGAATTGGAAAATCGCCTGGGGACCCAAAAAAAAAAATTCGAAATTTCTAGAAATGTGGCCCAACCGGACCCCCCAAACTGGACACCGGATCTGGACATCCAGACGTCCGGTTGACAACATGGTTTTAAAAAACAAAAAGAAACCGAAACCAGACGTCATTCTATTTCAAGAAACCCACCGGTCAAATCTCACCAACCACCGTGACGCGAAAATGAAGATGACAGTGGAAAAAAACTTGGGAGGCTGTGCGTTCACACTATGGTCCAACAAAGAGGGACTGAGCAAATGAGGGACACGGTAGAAGGCAGATGGTCCTGGATTGATATCAGATGGCAAGAAGAAGATCTGAGAATTTAAAACCTGTATGGGCCCAACGCAGAAAGCGAAAAGGTAAAATTCTTTAACAACATCAAACCCGTCATCCCTAATCCTCTACCCGTAATTATAGCAGGGAATTGGAATACCACTTTGGATTTTAATCTCGACCATATCTCTAGGTCCTTGTTGATGAGCCTCACACGAGCAAGAGCCCAGATTCGGAATATCATGACCAAGTTGGAACTGATCGACTTGTTCAAAACTTTCCATCTTCTTCTAAAAGCCTTCTCTCTAGTTAAGAGAAATCGGGCTAACCGCACTTCGTTCTCGCGGATCAACTACTTTCTGATTTCTGAGCTCCTAGCACTGTCAAGGAGGCTGAAATCCTTCCTGCAGCTGCTTTTAAAAGGCTGGACCACAAAACCATATATTTGCTCCTTGATTTCAACATCCCGGTGGAAAGAGAACAATTCCCTCCTCTCCACAGACCGTCTAACAAAAACAAAGGCAGTCAAATGAAATTAGTTGTTCATGCGATAGGACGAGGCGAGGCGTCAAGACAAACACCAATGGTTTATAGACAGCTATACGGACTTGTCTTATACGGTTTCGGCCGAGTCGAGAAGCATAGCGGCTGAACACAAGATAAAAAATGAGGAACTTCAAATTGTTATAACGATCGCCGAAGCTATACCTAACATTAGACCGCGCTAACGAATTCTACTACAACCTACTCAAATCTGCATAGGAAGAACTTGATAAATGGAGGAGATGGGAACTAAGAGGTCTACAACTAGGCGCCAAAA